CCAGCCTGACCCTATGTCAACTAACATTGCCCGTTCAGGAAGGTAATGGCTAGGCAGGCATGCGTAACACGTCCTAACCATCTCAGTCGATGTAGCTTCACATCCTCATCGATTGATTTCCCCTTCTTACTTAGCACTCACCTCAATATTGCTCACCTTATACCACTTAACACGGGAGATATTACACAGACACCCATGATCAAAAGCAGCTATCCTTTTCATATCTTTATCTTTCAATGGTCATGTTTCACGGTCAGCCATAAAGAAAGACAGAACAAACTGCCGAGCAGTACGTCCTTTGATTGACAGCTGGATATCACATCTACGCCAGAGACGGCGTAAGTGGGCAAATGCCCAAAGAGCTTTCTGTATCCGTTCTGAGATTTCGTCAGAGGTCAATCCTCTGGGGCTGGCTGATGCAACTTCCCAAATAATTGAAGTGGTCAGTACACCCTATCATTTCAATTTCGATCTTTCGGTTAGGGTTCGATTTGTTCTTCGTTATTCCTCCTCCTTTGTTTCACACCTCTGCTCACTGTTTCTATTATGCTTCTCTTGCACTTTCTTCTCTTGCTTCGCGTGCTACACGGAGTGTGGCGACTTGACTTTCCGCACATTTGTGCAAAGTTCTATGTCGAAAACAGACAGACAGACTTCAGATGACAACTCCCTTTAGGCTCTCACCTGGCTGCTTGCATGCGTTCGAGTCAAGTGTCTTGATCAGTGCGATGTATTTTTTCGGCATTCCCTTCACAACCAAACATCCCCATAGTACCTCTCAGTCGACAGAATCGAGTGCTTTCAGGTCGAGAAATGTGACAATTGTTGGATGCGGGTTAGCACTCCTTTGTCCCAGAATCTGCCGAAGAGTGAAGATATGATCAGGACACCCTTTCCCTGGTTTAAAGCCTACCTGGTTCTTTCGTGTTTGTTCTTGCCGAACACCTCTTAATCTGCACATGATTAGATACTATATTGGTCAAGCTAATCCCCTTGTGGTTATCAAAGGAAGACTTGTCTCCTTTCTTGTATATCGGGATAATCAATGACTTACACCAACCCGACGGGACTTCCTCTGATTCCTAGACGCTGTATAATACCCTAGTTAACGTAGACAGTAAGCTGTCTCTACCATCCTTAAACACCTTTGGAGTCATTCCATCATGTCCTGTTGCTTTGCCTCTTTTCAGATTTGTGACAGCTTTTGTAACCATATTTAGAGACGGAGGACCTGTGTTTATATCCCATTTAGGGAAGTGTTGGATGCTGGGTAAGTTGAGCGTAGCTGTAGGCCAATTAAATTACTCCTAAAAGTGTTCTTTCCAACGTTACAGTCGTCTTTCGTGAGAGCTAATTATGGTGCCATTTTTCTCGGAGATTGTTTCGCTAATCATTTGCCTTTTGCCGCCTGTTTCCCTGATAACTCTGAATAGTTTTGTGGTGTTACCAATCGCCGATGCCTTTTCCATCTCTTTCGCTGGTGGATATTTCGGTAGTTTTGGTCACTACCTTATATTTCTCCCATGAGAATAACATGTGGGAGATTTGTATCCCACAACAGTCGGTAGAACTGAAATTAGCTCCTATTGTGTGTAAAAACTCGATTGATGTGTTAATTAGTGTAAATAATTTGTCAATACTCTATGAACATTGTACATGGCAAGCTTGAACGAGACACGTGATTTCAGAATATCCGTGTTAGAAATTGCAGTGTATGCCGACATTCTGAAGACAGCCAACTAGCTGTTCGAAACGGTGCGGGTAGACTGAGATTTCAAACCATAGCAGACGACTGACAATAATGAAGATATCCAAAACCGTAAAGTTGAAATAAATAAAGCAAAACTGTTTATATAAGAGCAGAAATAAAATGAAAAAAATCAAGTTGTTGAATATATGATTCACAAAGTTATCTACCATAGTGTGTATGAAAGTTGGATTGTTCATTGATCATTCTTTTATTTGTGTGAAGTCTGAGACACTGTATGAACGTCGAGGCAAGAGCAAATGGTTGCCTTTGAAGACCACTTCAAAAGCCTTTGAATTGGAGTCTGGTCCACAAGACAGCAGAGCAGCATCAGCAGGTGCGTAAGTCATTTGGTCCTCTTGCATTTTGTTTAGAATCAGGGCCTTTCTATTTACCATAGATGGAACTCAATGCCCACTACTAGTCCAGGGCTAAGTAGTGAACACTCACACTTACCCTCTCACTTTTGTAGTTACATCCTCTACTACCTAAAGGCGTTGAATAGAACTTACTTAGCAGAGATTATGAACGCGTAGCCACATGAGAGAATTTCTATAGGAAGACCAGAGCAAACTCACCCTCAGTCATTAATGGAGGGCTATCCGTTGTAATATTCTTTACAGATTGTATACAGTTTAGGAAACCAATCTGGATTGACATTGTTTGAATTTATTTTTGCTCTTTTCTTGTTTATAAAACGGAATATGTGTGTGAAATTCGTCTATTCGCTGAACCTCCACTTTTCTTTTAATGATCCTATAACATATTTTATATTATGTTTATACTTTTCTTATCACTTGCTTTGTAGCAACTTGGGCCAATAGTAGGTCTTATGCTTATTAATATAGTTGTCTGTGTGTTCATACCCAGACTGATGCATTAGATACGTAAGGAATTTTCTGCTGGAATGTATTTAGGGACTAACATTTCAGAGTAGCTTGAGAATGGAGCAACATATTTTGTTTTTGTAATTCTGCTAGAAGCTCTTGGCTGTTTTACTCAGATACACCACTGTATCACAGCATATTTGGTGTGTGTTGTGGTGAAGTATTTTAAGATATTTCAGTAGTTACATTTACATTGTTTCTGTTGGCTTGTTGATGCACTGAAATGTAATAAAAAGATGTATTGAGGAAGTATCGTTGTCTCTGAACTGCCCTCCAATAGCTGTGTACATTTGTTTCGACAGAATAGTAAGTTGATATAAGTTGTGTTTGGCTCAGTCGACTTCTATATTAAATGACATGCCATGCGACTTTTTTCTTCGCTGTGATTATAATAAAGGACTTGTTATAAAGCAGTTTCTCAAATCTGATTAAGTAGCTGATGTTAATGATCAGTCTATATTTTTCGCTATTGACTAAAATTAATGTCTGTCTGTTTTCGACATAGAACTTTGCACAAATGTGCGGAAGTTCAAGTCGCCACACTCCGTGTAGCACGCGAAGCAAGAGAAGAAAGTACAAGAAAAGCATAATAGAAACAGTGAGCAGAGGTGTGAAACAAAGGAGGAGGAATAACGAAGAACAAAACAGTTTCATTGGAGATCATAAGTCACAAGGAGTGGATGCATCTGCGCCACTGAGAACGATTTTGAGCCATGTCACCAATTGTTTCCAACCATAGATTTTTACCGTCCCGAGGACCCCAGCCTGGAAGTCTACACCTTTCTATGTGGCTTAGACCAACTGTTGTGGATTTCATTGACTGATGCCAAGTTTTTGTTTGACCGCCGCTAGCTTTTTTCCAGTCTGACCCTATATCCGCTAACATTGCTCATCGAGGGAGGCGATGACTTGGCATACGTAACACATGTCCTAACCATTTCAGTTTTTGTAGCTTCACGACTTCGTCGATTGATTTCCCCAGTTTACCTAGCACTCGACGCCTAACCTCAATGTTGCTCACCTAAAATTGATATTCGACCTCTACTTCAATTAAGTGTCACACTCCCTATATTAGTCAATAATAGACTCTGCTGACAAAATGCAGAGTCTTCTGAACACCTTGAGCAGCAATCTTCGTATGTTTCGCATGCGATTCGCCCCTGCAAAATGTAAGATGCTGCTACAGGACTGGACTACGTCAACTCCTAGCTTAGTGATAGGGAGTGAAGTGATAGAACATGTTGACCACTTCACCTATTTGGGAAGTTGTGTCAGCACCAACGGACTGATTGGCGATGAAATCTCAGCACGGATCCGAAAAGCTCGAGCTGCTTTCGCTGACTTACACCATCTCTGGCGTAGGCGTGACATCCGTCTACTAACCAAGGGACGTGTGTACTGCTCAGCAGTTCGCTCCGTCCTTCTCTATGGCTCTGAAACATGGCCAATACGAGTTGAAGACATGAAAAGGTTGACTGCTTTCGATCATAGATGTCTGTGATCTCTGTCTCACGTCAGGTGGTTTCACTAGATAAGTAATGTTGACGTTAGGCGTAGAGTGTTGGGCAAAGAGGGAAAATCGATCGACGAGGATATAAAGTTACATAGACTAAGATGGCTAGGTCACGTGCTGCGCATGCCTAACCACCGCCTCCCCCGACGGGCATTGCTAGCTGATATAGGTGAAGGTTGGAAAAGAGCCAGTGGTGGCCAAACAAAAACATGGCCTCATCAATCCATGAAATCCTTGACAGTTAAACTGAGTCAGGTAGGGAGATGCAGACTCCCGGGTTGGGGTCCTCGGGACTCTAGGAATCAATGGCTGGAGACAATAGGTGACATGGCTCAAAATCGTTGTCAATGGCCAGCGCAGATGTATTCAGTCTCTGTAATCTTTCATATTCCTTTCTACCATTACCATTCTGTTTCACTCTTATACTTGTCAGACTGTATTGATTCTCTTCACTCATCTTCTTGTCTACCTCTGTGTGTTATTTGGAACGTGGCAACTGGAACTGGTGCACTTGGGTGCCAAGTTCTATGTTGAATCCAGACAGACAGACAATAATAGACTGCTGTACGATTTTACAGGTTTTGATGATAACTTCGCTGATAAAGAAAATTTTCTTTGCTGAATTGTATTTTATTTTTTCATGACTCAATAGACATTTTCGTCTTTTCTTTTAAATACAGTTTTGATCTAAAGTTGTGAAAAGAATATTCTTTGTTGAGCAATATCTTTCTGATTTTTATCACACGGATTATTTTTCATAATTCAATGTTTTTTCTCAGTTCCTTTTATATATATATATCTTTTGTTTTGTTTTCCAGTGAAATTTTCAGTCTTCCTTTATTATATATTTTAGACTTTTCGAAAGGATAGCGATGCATTAAAAAGGAACCGCCCAAATAGTGTTGCCCTATACGAACTCGCAATCAAAGCTGGAGTTCTTATGGACAACATGGTTTTCAGGTATACAAATACGTTTTAATTTGAGTGATTTGGTTGTGCTGAAATTTTTCAGAGTTATAACGTGAGAGCGTTCTTTCGTAGACTTTCTATTTATTATTATATATACGTTTTTCTTTTTGATAAAATTTAACAGTACACCAAGAAAAATTGGGATAGAATGGCACAAATCTGTCGGGTTTCATCAGTTTCCTGATTATCGAACACATCTTATTGGTTTTCGCCTGTAGATCTTCGAATTTGTGTGACATTAGACATAAGTCATCTACGAAGTTCAGATCTAGGGTCTTTTTATCTGTTCAACGTATAGCCATCTTGCTCCCCATGACCTGTTGAATGACCCAGTCTACCACAGTGAGGAACGTCATCAGTGATAATCGGCAGCCTTGTGTTACTTGTATCTTCACTTCAGAGGCTTCACTGAGCTTTCTGTTGCGAATCACTTGAATTATGACGTCATCATAGAGGTGTTGGATTCGGTTTATAAAGGTTTGCAGCACTCTGTAGTGTTGAAAATGTTTCCAAATGGCTTTGATATAACTATGAGCACTAAATTGTGCTCGAAACGTCATTATTCATTATAGCTGTATAACACTGTGAGACTATCAAATAGACTTTCTCTATAATCGAATTATACTCTGTCACAGTACCTTAATCTTATTCTTACATTAATAGTTTCCAAATTACTTTATGGTCAGTCAGCATTATCGTCTAGTATGCATTGTATAAACTGTTCATACAAGAGGTCTGGACAATGCAATAAACCATGGGACTAAAAGCTAGACAAAAGTTCCTCATTTATGTTGGATTTTTTCTTTAGTACTTACAACAGACAGTACTAACTATCATAGCTGATTATTCCTTATTTGTTGATTAAGAGGTCTATCTGCTAAGTCTGCGAAGTTGTCAATAAAAGAAGTCACACAATAAGGTTTGGTCGTAAATGTTAGAAGTTGACTGGACGAGGAGTCACGAGCTCGAGTGTCATTCTTAGAGGTATAGGACAGTAGGGCTTATCTACACTCTCCTACAAACTGATTATTTCTTTATGAAAATACTATCAAAGCAGATACTTTGCTTCTTCAACTATTTTGATTGTGAATGAGGCTGTTTTATATTGAAGAAGAATGAGTATTTGAAGTGTGTTTATATTTGAGGGAAATTACTAGGTGTATAGATTAGTTTAGTTTGTGCTTCTGTAGTTTGATGAGTGAGTTTTACTCAGAATGCACATAAAAACAAAGTAGATAATACGAAATTACGTAAGAGTTCTGAATGAATACAAGAATTCTCAAGAGAAGGATCACATCATCTCTGAGAAGAACATTCTTTGCAGCAACGCTAAGAATAGTGTTCTCCAGTCGCCCACTGATCTGCAGAAGCCTCAAGGACAGCATCCCGCATCTCACCACTTCCGTGTGCATATATCAGTTCACCTGCTGCTGTGGAGCCAGGTACATCGGTCGTTCGACGCGCACCCTGTCCAAGAGGATTCAAGAACACTATCCAGCACGGTTGCGAAAAGGCAGTAGTAGTGCAATAAGGAGTGCGATAATTGAACACCTGGTTAACACTGATCATTCCATTTCAACAAACGCCTCCTTCAAAGTAATCTACAGAGTCGAGAACAACCTATCAAAGGCAATACGGTTTCATCTTCTTTGTATCGCTGAAGCTCTAGCCATTCACACAGGAAAACCGGAGCTGTGCATACAAAAGATTACTCAACCACTTCTACTGTCATGGTAACAACATTTTTTTGTTTTGATGACTTAATTTTGTTTCTTTGCCTGCTCTTTAATTGCTTAGAATTCTTGTATTCATTCAGAACTCTTATGTAGTTTCGTATTATCAACTTTGTTTCTATGTGCATCCTGAGTAAAACTCACTCATCAAACTATTCATATTATTACTTAACTTCTTTTTTAACAACTGTTTATGACAACTCATCAACTTTGTTACTGCCCAAGTTTCATTAACACTTAATTTTCTTGACTTGTATTACCAATCCTCACCTGTTTAGTTAAAATAACCAAACCAATTGTAATTTTTATACAATTGGTGGATGGTGACTAGCAGTGGGATCCAGGATGTGCATTTCGTCTTATTTGGGACTTGTCAGATGGATGTACCTGCATTTCTCAGTGAGTGATGATGTTCCCACTGAGGCTCGAACCCAGTACCCATAGTTTCGAACGCCAAAGCGTTATACACTAGACCACTTGGGCCACGAGAGCCACCTCTTGTGCAACGGGTCATATTAATTATTGTATTGAATTTTTGATTTTCCCGTCGATTGGTTGGACCGAAGTGCTCGGTCTCAGGTTGACATGTCGGCTTCCTGTGCAGATGCTTCGACGATGTCTGGGTATTTTAATTAGTATACAGCCACCATCCACCAATTGTATACTAATTAAATACCCAGACATCGTCGAAGCATCTGCACAGGAAGCCGACATGTCAACCTGAGACCGAGCACTTCGGTCCAATCAATCGACGGGAAAATCAAAAATTCAATTCAATTGTAATTTTGTTTGACAAACTTAATGTACACATACCTACAAAATAACACATATATATTTGCGATTGTACAGCTAAGAAAGTGAATTCGCCGAAAAGAGACTCTTCGCTGATCTACGTGTTTTGTCTTCTGTAGTTCCACTTATATATTTAAACACAAACTTCGTGCCTTAATGGGAGCTGCTACCGTGACTTGGTGGTTGCGGTTGCATGTCACCATAAAGAAATTAGCTGTACAGATCCTACTTCATTTGAAAGTCTCCTGTATGGCTGTTAGATTAGAGGAAGTTAAAATCAGTGTAAAGTGCTTACACTTTGATAGGGATGAGAATTCGTTGACGTTTCGTCAACGACATCTGGTATTTAAGAAGAAAACTTTAAAGAGGGGTCTAATTGTCCCATAGATGCGCTTTAGTTACCCATCATTTAAACTCAGCATGGATGGGATATAGATATATGTTCCCCAACTGTAACCAGGGTTGTAATAATAGAAAAAGTACAGTAGAGAACTAGGACGTAATTGTTTTAGGTTTCGGAAGTGATCAAGGATAGTGGTGATGAACTACTGGTTGTGTTGACTAGGATTACAGTAGTCTATGGCAGTTCGAGATACTTTCATCAGGATGGTATAGAACATTCCAGTTTTCAAAAAGGCGACAAAACTTCCTTCGGTAATCAGTGGGAGATCAATCCGACCAGTATAGTGTCAAAGATAATATGGCACATAGTCTTTCGAAGACTAAGTGTGCTGCAAGGGACAGAAACTTGAAACATTTGACAAGTTTCAGACCAAAATGACAGTGGGTAGATGATAATCCTTATTCTACGGTATATATATATATATATATATATATAGTTTTACATCAAAATTATGGCAGTCATGTGGTGATGATGACAGTCAATACTAATTACCAGTTTCGAGGTGTAGGACGGGTGTGTGTGTGAGAATAATTTTGGAATTCAAGATTAGTAGAGGTTGGCAACACGACATTGTATAATCAAAAATATATAAATCACGTGTGACTAAGAAGAATAGGTGAATGAATTACGAAAGGACACCATGATACAAATAAGTAGCAATAATAACATAATAATGCCAAATGGTAGTTGCAACGCATATTATTTAGATGTCCACGGCAAAGAAAGGAGCTGCAGGAATTCGTCTTGAACATACAGATTAGGCTTGTTTAATTGAATTTCGATTGCCTCTTCTGTATGTAAAAGTCATACTGTTAACGCAGGCGAAAGGTAGGGTAAAATACGATAAATGACTTTGAAAGCTTTATTAGCGTCGATGCGATGAGCTAGTATTAAACTACATATCACAATGAAATCCTGTAACCAACCAGATCCCTACAAACCAACACTTAAATATCGATGAGATGCTCACTAGCGGCTTGCCCTATTCAGGTAGGTAGTTACCTGGGGTTCTAGTGAGAAGTCGTGACCAGTAGGGTGCAGCAGGTCGGGTGTGAGGACAAATACTTGCCGAAGACATTGGCTAGGGGTCGCGCTATGTTATGAGTTGGCAGAAGTTAGAATTCATGGGCCATTGGATCAGGTCCCAGTGGCTTAATGGTATACGAACTCTCTGGTCTTGTAACCAGAAAGTCCTGAGTTAGAATCCCGGTGGGTGCGTACTGATGAAGAGTCCCAAACTAGGACGAAACAGATGTTCAGTGCTCTCAGGTTTTCCAATAGCTGTCTAACCAATGTCAGCTCATGATGAAATCCTGTAACCAACCAAATCCCTACAAACCAACACTTAAATACATATCAGTTTATTTGGTCCTTTACCCCACCTTGATGTCTGGTGTTCAGAAATTTGACGACAAACTTTTCTAATCGTACACTTAATATTAACTAGCCGCATAGGTGTAGTTCAACTGGTAAATACACATGGAAGAAGAAGCACTTACGTCCTTTGTTTCTTTACAAAGTTCAGTGTTACTAATCCAGTCAAAGTGTAGTCACCAGGATATACTTCACATGGAATAATCCAATTACGGAATAAATTAAAGTAAAATAAAATGGCTTGCTGGACTGGATTATGCGTCAGATAGTGGGAAACGAAAAGATAGGGATATCCTGGACCGACGTGAAGAACCTAGACGACCTGGATTTCGCGAGTGGACGATTTACGTTTGATGTCACACAAAATCGAAGACCTACAAGCGAGAACTGACAAACTGGTCGAAGAAGCAGCCGGCGAAGACAGGACTCCAGGTAAACATAGACAAGATGGAGGTTGTGAAAATAACCAACTAGTGTACAACAACAACATCCAGCGCCAATCATCATCAACTGGAGGGATTTGAAAGAGGTTACTTCATTCATTCAGTTATCTAGGGAGCATTGTCTCAACTACAGGCAGTCGGAACGGACGAGGATGTCAAATCGAACGGGAATCGGGAAGGCAGGCGAGAAACACATTCATTAGCCAACTGAAACCAATCTGGAAATCTTCGTCACTCAACATCAACAAAATTCAGTAAGATTTTCAATACAAACGTCAAGTGAGTTCTTCTATACGGATCAGATCAGAAACTCGGTGGGCGGGTTACAAAGAATATTTCCAAGAGGCTATTGCAGACCTTTATCAACAACTGTCTTCGCTGGCTCTATACTGAAGATCAGATGGCCGGGTCGGAAAGAATTACCAACAAGAAACTCTAACTGGGAACAAACAAAACAAGAACCAGTCGCCCGCCCAACAAATATGCAGGAGAAAGTGGAGATGGATTGGACACTCGCTGAGTAGGCCGTTGGGTGACATCTCACGTCAGGCCATTGCTCGAGTGGGACGTTGGTGCGAGGGTGACATGGAGGAGATCATGTGAAGAGGAGTTGAAATAGTATGGACTAAGATGGATGCAGGTGGAAAGTACATCAAAAGACATAAGCAAGTGGAAACGTGCAGTTGAAGCCCTATGTTCCACTAGGAACCCAAGGGAACAATAATAATAATATGATAAAATAAAATGGCTGGATAAAAAACAAACAAAATGAAATGGATGAATATACTTATCCAGTACATTCAAGAGAGCGTTCATTGCTAAATTCTATTTTCAATCACGTAATTTCCGGTATCAATTCTTGAAGATATCTAATTAAGCTTCGAGCTATTGACTCGAAGGACCACTCGCAAGTGAACCGGGAACTCTTAATGCTAGTCGAACAAAATCATCCTACGTCATACTGTGCCACTTTTTGGATGTTGTACAACAGCTGTAGAAAATAGAAATCTGATGAATTATCCACTAGTGTTATGTGGAGGTAAGACGAAACTTATCGTATTCGAAAATACAAAGGTATGAATTAAACATCTTAGCGTTCAACTAAAATACTCATTCAAATAGCTTCGCCTCAAGTCTCCAGCTACAAAATGTTTTGATTCATTTTGTCACTTTTGTGTGCTATAATCTTCATTATCGAGTAAGCAACTTCCAATCCAACAATCAGGTCCCAGTGGCTGAATGGTATACGAGCTTGCCTTGTAACCGAAAGGTCCTGGGTTCAAATCCTGGTGGGTGCATACTGCCGATGATTCCCAGATTAGGATGAAATATCAGCTATCCAGTACTTCCTGGTTTTCAATGCTTCTCTAACTGATATCAATTGGTGATCAACTCGTAAAAAAGAAAAATTCTACGCCATCATTACTTCATCACATCATGTGTCTTAAATTTGCCTTAAACGAGTTTCATACTGATAAACATTGCTGTTATGACAATAATAATAATAATAACAACAATAATAATGGTAATTTGTATTCATATTTTCCCTTATATTCTTTTCTATTTTAGAAGTGTACATGCACTAATTGCAATAGGCTGTAGTCCAATGGTTGTCTATTCTATGCTAAAATACTTAGCATCACATTATGCAAAGAAGCTTGCTACTACCACAGAAGATGGTGATCCGAATGCTACAATCATTCCACATAATTCTACTGTTGTTGCTGCTGCCGATACTGCTAGTATTGAACCTCTAACGGAAACTGCCCGTGAATTAGAAAATTTCCTGTTAGGGAAATCAAAATTCATTAATGACCTGTTGGCACCATGTCGAAATTTAGACTCACAATTTACTGTTCTCAGTCGTACTAGTAATCGCAATATTATTATTAATAATGATACTAATCATCCCAGTAATTATAATCAAACAAATAAAGGCTTGACAAATAAGCCAAGAATGTTACCATCGCATACACTGAAGCATAATAACTGACCAGTTTGTTGGTTTAGTCATTTTTTTTGTACCTAACGCAAAGTAACCATATCACTCTGTATATGTTAACACTTTTTTTATTGTTGATTTAATCGTTTTATATGAAACAAAGTAAATAAAAGGCCTCATATTATATCTCTATAATTTTTATTATTATTTTTCCTCTCATAATCGTCTATTCCTATCCGAATAGATCAGTAGTAAGTACAGAGAAGGTGAGAGCAGACACAGACACACATATTTTTTATAGAAAACATTTGAAAATCATAACTCCTTTTGAAGTAAAGTATTGCAATAAATGATTACATCACTTTAAATTACTGAAGAGAGGTGTTCTCTTTCTTTCCCTTATTATAAGGATATACATACAGGCTTTTTTCTCTCTCATTCCTATACTCCTTTTCCTCTTCTACTTCTTCTTCTGCTACTTGTCTTTCGTCTTATTCTTCTAAAAAAACACAATTAGGAATCATTTTTTGTGTGCATATCAAATTAATAAAAGAAAAAAAAAGAATTTAAGTAAATCTTATGCAAGTGTCTGTTCAAAAAAAAATACTTCTGATCGACACTTGTATCCTTGTTTTTGTTTTTGGTGACTAATAGTGTTGTCCTTGTTTGCTTGCTTGCTGGCTTGCTTGTTTATATGTTGTTGGCATTTCTTTTTTTTTTTTGGGTGGGAGGGTCAAAAATTAAATTATAAAGAAAGATAAATTGATCGAATTGTGAATAAATTGTGTTTTCCTTTGAGTTCACCAGAGTAATTATCTAGTCTCTTCACATTGAAGCATGATTTGTTTTCTAAATAAATAAATAAATAAAATATACAAAACAAAGCAGCCTGCTGAATGAATGGTCATCATTTATGCCTAGCATTTGATGTCAATAAAACAAAAGGGAATGTGATGAGAAGTTTGCCTTGTAACCACCGGGGAGAAGTGGTGCATGTGTGTCTACAGTTGAAGAGTCCTAAACTATAACGAAACAGTTAGTTGTCCAGTAAATACTCCCTGATTTTCAATGGTTCTCTAAAGAATGTTATTTTGTGAGCTAAATTGGAGCCAATCAAATTTTATATAAACCATTCATACTAGAAAAATGATCCAGAAGTCATTACTGTGAAATAGTTGGAGTTTTCATAGCTAACATTTGCGTGTCAAGGTAAAAGTTAGAAAGAGTAGACAGGAATATGGTTAGTTCTATTATACTTTTAAACATTCCTATTCCCATATTTAGAAAACAAAAGATAATAGATTGATTGAAGAAACATACTCCTTTGAATTAAAAAAAAAGAGAATATTTCCTATTTTGATTATATCTGGATTCCGCACCGTATTTTTCGTGCAAGTATGGAATTTTCAGCACGTGATATCGGTAACCTAAATTTCTCAGGTCGACCATTGATATCAAGTGTCCGTCGGCAAGGGATCGAACTCCGGGCAATATACATGAACGGCGAGCGCCCTATCCACTGTTCCACCGACTCTTTTTTTCTTGCACCGGTTCATCAATTGGTTCTAAGATGGATCATCTAGTCTTTGCAATAGAAATATAGATTTTTGTTCACTAGTCATAGGTTCCATTAATTACCTATGATTATACTAAATTACACTGCATCGTACTTGAAATTCAAATTATGCATTTTTTGAGGTGCTTTGGAGTTTCTCTAGCGATTAAATTGATCTTCCAGAGAAGGGTCGCTAGCTTCCCCCCCCCCGCCCACTCAACCTGCCTTCTTTTTTCTAGATTTAGGACCAGCTAGTAAAGTGGGCGACGTTAGCTAGTTATTCTTTGTGAGGGATGGGAATCATTGGGCATATACACACTAGAGGTATTCTGTGAGATACGTGTAAATGTAAGTTGCTAGTGTTTGCTAGTTAGTTGCATTAAATATTATAGTTGTATTGCAATATTAATAAACACTTAACGTAAGCGTAGAAATTGAGCACTGTGGTAGAAGGTAATTCTATATTAGATAGGCTTATTTGATACAACAGACAGTGATGTATGATGGATAAAATTTTATTTTAATAAAGTCACACAGTAATATTTACTGATGACGTTTCGTGCACAATTTATTGCTCATAATCATATCAAGGCACTACTCACATAACTTTTTTGCTTATTTTACATACATCAGTGAAAATTGATCAGACATTTGAATAGAAATCAATATAAGACTTGCTTGAAACAGAATGGAAGATAAAGTACATTCGGAAACAATATAAGTGTTAATAAAATACAGTAGAATGGGAAATAAGACGAGTGTTGTTAGTCAATAAGATATTTTTTATAGTAAAAATAAGTAACCTGTTAGAATGTTATAATGTGAATAGAATACATTCTAACATTATTTATTATCCTCTGATTTGACTGGTAATAATATCTTCCATATCTCTGGTATTTGTGTTGAGTCGCTTCTATTGCATATGTCGAGTGTAAACTCGATGAACCAGGACTCAGTATAAATTTCTCTCTCCCCTTTTAAATTTTTAACCCTCTCCCAACCTGTTGTGTGTTAATGCATGCAGTGCAATTGCTCAGCTTTTTTCTAAATTACTTATCTTCGCGGGGTCAGTCATTCTAACCTTAGCTAAATTCTTATGTTCTGACAATCTAACTACTCCCGATCTACTATTTTGACCTATTTAGTTGATCTCACAGTCAACGTTGTCTAATCGAGACAACAGGGTCCTTTAACCTACTGAACTTTTCCCTGAGTGAGTTTGTAGGTTTTAATACCACTCTAATTCCTGCTATATTAAGAATCCTACGTAAGGTCTCAGACGTCCCCTCCTTATATGGTATAACAGTGGATGACTTATATTCTTTCCTATTCATGTTATCATTATTAGTTTCTCCATTATTAATACTATTATTATTTTGGCCTTTACTGATCTTTCTAATGAATTTCATAGGATAGTTATCTGATACCAACGCTTCTTCTATCTGTTTTATTTCATCATTTAGGTCTTTCCTTGTGCTACTTAGTGCTACTGCTCGGTTTGTTAGACACTTCACTAAGCCTGCCTTAACAGTTAACGGATGAGACGAATTAAAGTCTAAATATCCATAAGAATTCGTTGGTTTTCTAAAAACGCTAGTGTGTAGTTTACCTTCTTCTATTCGTCTTATTTTACAGTCTAACATAGCTAATTTTCCTTGTTCATTTTCCGATTCAAATGTGAATTTTATTCCTTCTACTTGTGAGTTTATATGTGTCAAGAAGCTAGAGGTATTATCTGTTTTTAACACTGTGAAAGTGTCATCCATATATCTTCGGAGTAGGATTAAATGTATTAAGAGCAATATCTTCTCACCTCTCCATAAAGATATCTGCTACGATAGGGGATATTGGCGATCCATCCCATTGCCACACCTTCTGTTTGTTTACATATTTGCCCTGTAATTTAAAGATAGTAGATGTGAAGTATAACTGAATTCCTAAAATAAATTTCTCAATGGGCAGCTTTGTTTTGATGATATTAGATAGTTGGAAGGCGAAGCTGTCCATTGAGAAGATTATTTTAGGCTATCAGTTATGCCTCATATCTACTGTCGTTAAATTCCAGGGTAAAATAGATTATCGGAACATGGAAATTTAGCTAGGCCTAGAATTATCGATGCTTCCCAGTTAAATAATCTAGAAAAAACTCTGCCATTGTAATTGATTCACTTGGATTTTATCACACAGTCGGGTGGGGTAGGATAAAAGTGCTAAAACGTAATATAGTAAGGTGGAGAGAGAAAGAGAGAGAGGTCAATCACTGATTTTTCGTTCATCAAATCAACACCAAACATGTGCAATCGAAATAACGCAATGTCCATACTGTGTGTATGACAGATTACAAGGGGGGAAGAGAAGAAACATAAAGCAAATTATGAAGATGTGTCGATACACTGATATGATTATGAGCAGTAATAAATTGTGCTTGAAAAGTCATGCAATTATTAAAATACTGTATCATTCACTATATATGTTATATCAAATAAGCTTATGCGGAATAGATAAACTCTTAGTTTTTTTATAGCCAATTATGTAGTGACTTTTTCAAGGATAAATGAGGCCCTTATATAGATATAAACCGTCAGGATTCAACTCAAATTATTGATTAGCCTCGTATCCCAACTTTGAACACGACCGGCATTCATATTCATCTAACTAATTACATAACTGTGCTGATGAAAGTGAGCAATGTATTGAGATATTTATTAGCTTAAGTCAGTAGTTGTATCAAATCAAACTAGACATGAAGTAGTGTAAACTAAAGTATTACTGGGTGAAGTTAAAGTATCATAGTCTAAGTCCTTCAAAAGCTGACCTTCAAGAACCGATTAGATACAGGGAATGCTACGAAATGTCATTCCAGATCAAATCATGTCTGTGTTTTTGAAAATTGGAGAGGGCAGATACAGTGTTCTGCGTATTCATTAGGTACTTTCTCTGCAAATATATACTGTTAGGCAGGATTACGGCTTTATAGATTAAGGTTTAGGTTTTAGTGTTAGGTTTAAAGTTAAAGTTACGGTTAGGATTATGGTTGGAGTATAGTGTCAGAAATATCAATGAACCTCAAAGTACCGTGACGTATAGTCACCTGGATGAATGGATATATCGCTCATGGTACAGTTTCTCTATAGATTATCTGTGTAGTGACTGGGAGACATTCTTACAACACATAAGCTGCAACTCTACAGTGTTAAATCATGTTTGCAATATTTCTTTAAGTGTATTTTTCAACAGTTACGCCACTTTTTCGCATCTCAGTTCTGATTGGTTTTTCAAGGTCACTGTGATTTTGGCTATGATAGTTAAACTTTTTGATTGCCCACTAGTCAGTAACTAGTGTAATGTGTATAGTCCTATCTTCACTGCAGACTGAATTCTATCAGTCAAGCTTGCAATGTGGCCACCCTGCAGATATGCCTTGCTGATGAGTGCCAACTAGCACGAAACCTAGGTCCAAGACTTCCTGTGGCCGATTGCCTCCAATCATCTAATA